TTTTTCTACAGCTATGATACTTTTTGACATCCAACACCTTTTGTCTTTAGTCACCGTGACCACGCACGCTGTAAAGCAAGCGAAACGTCGGTTAAATTTAAAATTATGTTAAATAATTGTAAATTTATAATAATACATAACTTTAATCCGGTTAAAAAGTTTTTTCTTTAAATGTGTAAAGGTTATGTCAATAAAAGACAATACAATTATAAGTCATAGACATAGTCATGTCATAGTCATTTACAATGTTGTTAAATTCTAAGGTAGTTTATAACTACTCGTTGCGTCTAACTTCATTCAACATGCATTACTGAATCGTCGTGGGTTTGAAGAAGGACCGCCAAGAAACTAAGTACATTATGAATTCTATGATTAAATCTATTGTAATGAAATAACTTTTGATGCTAGTTACTGTTAGCTTTTCAGCTTAATGTACTAACCGGTTCATTACGTGATCCGCATCCCTTAAGCTTAGTTGCAAACTGGTTTAAACTTCATAAGAGAACCAGGCAAAGGTAATTCCAATGTAAATCTTCTTAAATAACTGTGATGCATGTTAGTAACGTCATTCATTTCGCTATCATTTGGCTTTTTTTAAGACTAATTTATTTGCAGGAATTGGTACAGAAATGTTATGGTGGAACAGTCTAAACTTTGCATATTCTGCCATACATAAAGGCGTACAAAATGTCTTATAAAATTAAAAGTTAGAATTTTATATAGTAGTTAAATATTAAATTTACATCATCGAAGTCAATTCTTAATTTATGATCATTATCAAATTTATATTTATTATAATGTTTCACTCAAATAATCATTAATGGAATTTTTGTGTTTCAAAAGTAGCATATTAATTTAATATTTAAAAACTCTAGTTAGAAGATCTTTGAATGTTTTTGGTAAATTGTTATAAACCTTGATTGCAATACAAAAAAAAATCCCATACAAATTCCAGATTAATTTATGATGGGTCACTGTGTGTATTTAGAATTTTTAATCCGACACTTGACTATATATTTCTATTTGTTTTAATTAATAGATACCGCGCCAACAATTGACAATACACAAAATCACACGTATATTAAAAAATATTGCAATTGTGACTGCATAAAGTTAGTCTTTGCTTTCGCTTTCCAATCTTATAGATATCCGGTCTGGATAAGATGACAAATTATGTGTGTGATTTAGTCCTAGAAAGAGTAAACGGTTTGATAGTTTACTCTTTCATACTTTTTAATCCATTTTAGAGTTTGCTAAAAAGGAATTTACTATACAAAATTCATGAACGTAACGTTTTTGTAAAGCAAATAAGCGTGATATAGTAAACAAATTTTAGGCATTTAGTACACATGCAACGTTATTTATGACAAATGTATATTCAAATAGTTTTTTATAGGTTTTATACAACCTCGCTAACACATGAATTTTCCATTTCCATTTTCCATTCCAACGAGGAATATTCATGCTCCCATACTTCATACGTTACTATAGATTAACAAAAAAAATGTATATTTATGTTATAGGTTCTATTCTATTCTATTGTCCATGCCACTATGTTTTTTTTTAAATAGCTGGCCAACCCTCGGCAATACCCAATGTAAAAGCACAAATACAATTTTTAATGTGATAAGCACTTATGACAAACGCAAACATATACACAAAGAGATAATACAAATATACGAAACAATTATTTTTTAACAAAAACTAAACGACAATCGTTTTTAAAGTAATATATAATCATTACTAACTAATATGCCAGTAAAGTTTATTGTTCCATGCACCGCCAAATGCATTATCATAAATTTACGAGACATTTAAGTCGATGATGCTATTTTAGCATCTCATTATGAAACTTGATAATTTCCGCTTTCGTACTAAGTTTTAATCTTTGTAAGAATGTACTACAAACTTAAGTCATATTTTAAAATGTAATAAGGGAATATTTGCGATGAAATAGGAAGCATTCGAATGGTTTTCATCAGATTCAAAGGTTTAAAATATAATAAAACTGGCTTTATTGCTATTAATTAGTTATTAATGTGTTAACTAGGCGGCTAACGTCGGTTGGAAAAAAAATAATGCGAATTCGGCTCTCTTACATTTCTTTTCAAGGACATATGACCTCCGGGTACTTAAAAAAAGAGCGTACCTTCATTTAAAAGTCGGCAACGCATCCACTAACGAAATGTTTATAGTATGATATGCGGCTACTATCCTATAAAAAATACCTACAAATTAAAAATTTGTGTTTTCCAGTATCCAATTCACGATTTAATAACAGAAACAACAACTTTATACATCGACACATTCTACGTCTTACATTTAATAATTAACTTGACATTTTAAGTAATCACTAATTATTTTTATTAATTTCTTTTATTATTGCAAAATATTTCGTAATATCCTTATCGAATATCCAGGATCTACAGTAATATGCGATTAGTACCGCCCTAGTGGCTTTCGGCGTGCGAATCTCAACACATTATCATTCAATAGAACCCCGGCTGTGCAGTCATGTACAACACCGTGGGTCGCCTCACTGGATTTTTACTACAGTTACGCTAGTGTTTTAAATGTGCATAGATCTTTATTACACCGCATTTTACGCAAAGACCTGAAGCTGCACCCCTAAAAATTAAATTGGAGCAAAAATTAAAGCCCCAAGGTGCCAGTCAAAGACTTGACTTCGTAAATCAGGTAACTGAGAGCTTTTCAACGTTTACCAATATCTTGTTTTCGGATGAAGCTCATTTTCATCTTATTGGACACGTAAATAAGCAGAATTGCCGCTACTGAAATACAACAAATCTGAAACGCCAACATCAGAGATCCCTTCATTCGCCTATAGTGACTGTATGGGCTGGGATGTCAGCACAAGGAATTATCGGCCCTTACTTTTTAATTTCATTGTTCGATTAAATGAGTGCCGCGAACGCGAGGGTCTACATTGGATGGTATTTTTTTAAAGAAATAAATTCCCAAAATGTCTACTTTAGTAATAAAGAAACACTTTTTTGATACACGACCTACTTTTTTTTAATCGATCATCTAAATATGAACTTTCTTTTGAGACACCTTGTATATGATACAGGTTAATCGTTCTTTTAAGCAAATTAATTCACTATTGTGAGGAAACCGGGATGTCTTAAGTCATTCTGAATTGAGGCTTTGCGCCTAGTATAGGTGGCGCCACTTACTACATCGGCAAGACTTACACATAGACCAGAAAATTATCAAGGAATAATTACTTGATAAAAAGCTATACGAAGTGAGTACTAAGCTACATAAAGATCCCGAGATTATTTTTATGCGAAATAAAGTCTAAGTTTAAAGTAATATTATCTTTATTGTTTACTTAAAAGGAAACTCTTTGATGGAAATGCTATGAAATGTTTTATGGCGTAATAACTTCGCTAAATATTCGATATTATTGCTCGAACATTAAACTGCGCAAAATGTAATACAAACTGTATAAGCTGGTCTTACTTTAATTAGTTTTTTATGAATCACGCTCGTAAGCGTGAACCGAATTGTTTTTATTTTTATCTATAATAATACAAACTGAACAAAATCTTTTTATTTTGTTTCCTTTGGAGTAGATACTCTTGGGCCGGAGATTGAAGTGCACAGGTGCTAATTAAATATTTGTTGGCGCCTGATAGGAATTACTGGTCATCCCAGAGCTGGTGTTTTCCCCACTCACCGGATAAACATCGCAACACAGCTAGGAAATGATGCCAGCATTGAAGGTACACTGCCACAGAGTCCACACTTTCTAAATTTAGTTCTAATTATATTTTTTAGGTTTAGGATTAAATAAATACTTTATTATCTAAACATTATTGCTTTTTATTTTATACTAAATTGATTTAATTTAATAGTTCACTACATTTAATAGTTTATTTAAAATAATAATAATAATTAGGGATGCGCTTAGTACAAAGTTTCGCTGTGTTGCTGGTTTTTTTTTGTTTAACAGTAAGCAAAAATTACTATTATTTTGTCTTTATTATTTGTAACATTTGTATTTACCAAAATTGTCATATATTTTAGATAAGATAGCTTGTAATATATACCGTAGATATAGTATAATGTACGTTATTCAATTCATTTTGCTGATTAAAATCTATAAAAATATTATATTAATTGTTAAATCAGAACTGATGTAAAATTATTATTACGTCATGTATTCAAAAACATTATTAAAGTAAGCAAGTCAAAATAAAATCAGGCCAGAAATATCAGACTGAGGTATTGTCAGACCATTTTATTCAATTTGAAGTTTGATATTTGTATTGTACTCAAGACGAGATACGGCCCTAATAATAAGGTTCAGTGTCGACTTAGCTCTAAGTATGACTTTCGTATAGCAAATACAATAAATACATAGTTCTTCCTGAAGTCTAGACTGAGACTTATCAGGGTCTCTCGTTTATTCTACCTAATATCAATAACCTAATCGACAGCGGGGTTTTTGGGTAAAAAAATACATCCATAATTTGTTGTACATATTTTCGTAACATATGTATATAAATCATTGATGTATTCTGTGATTTCGCTTAAATATATTTTTCTACTGAATAAATTCTCGTAATCCGATCACAGGCTGTAAAATCTTGAACTGGGCTCCAGTGTGCCTCCCTTGGGACCTGCTGGCTTCAAGCAAATCTCCGTTCCGAATAAAAATATGCATTTTCTGTACATTTCCATTTCAACGTTCAATATAAGTGTATCCACAAATGTAGAGGTTTCCTTATTCTTACAATAAGGAAATACAATTGAATTCGGTACACGTAACTTCGAAGTATCAACGCGCAATAATTGTTTACGGAGAGGAAAGCAATAAAAATGTCTTGAAATCGAGGAATATTGCCTTTTAAATGAAATATCGAGAATTCTGAACAAGATACTCCTTGCTATTGACTATCAAATATTCTATATATTTCATTTTGATGACTTTGGCAGTTCATAAATCAAAATTCTGTTGCTAAACTAAAAAAATGGACGACAATGATATTCATAATCTTGATACCGAATATAAACGATATTTACAAATTATGAGACCATATTTGGGACAGCTCCTGGACCAAGAAGTAATACACACATGCAATGCTTGGATACAAAAGCTCTCAGACTGCAAAGAAGGTGAAAAGGTTTTAAGAAATAAATATATATTTACTCTTTGCTACCAACTTGCTAAAGGTATACTCGAGGAGCCGTTTTTAAAAGCACCTTCAAAGAATTACTTATCCCCGCTACCTGATGACTCTTACAGTGACGAGTCTTCAACTGAAATCGAATGTGTAGTTATTAATAAAGATACAAACACGAGAATTATATACCATAACCCAAAAACTCCTTTAACTGCTGTAGGTGGCGATGAACAATGTTATAATGATACGCCCTTAAACTCGATACATAACATCTCGAAACATACACATAATTTACAAGATTCGTCTAAATCGCAGATACTAACACAAGACATTTTATCAAATGACGATTTCCAATACCTATTTTGTAACGAAAATGAAAAAGGTGATACGGCAAATGATGCGAAATATAAATGTAGAGTGTCTAACCTGATAAAAAAATTGAGACAAATTAAAAAACAAAATATGTTACTCCATAACGAACTACATGCTTTGAAAGAGAAGTCAGAAACTAGTCTTGATAATTCTCAAGATGTTTTAAAAGTAAACAATGAAACAAGCACTAAAATGTCATTACATAGCAGCCATACGCACGTTAATTCACTTAAATGCAAGCTACAAGAAGTTCAAGATTCCAAAAATACTTTAATAGACACTATATCTAATTTACAAGAGACTCTTGACTTTTTCCATAGCATGAAATCCCAAGAAATACAAGAAATTGAAGCTAAACATAAGCTAGAAATTATAAAACTAAAAACTTCAATTCGTGAAGAGATAACAACAATAAAAGATAAGGAAGTGGAAGACTTAAAAAACAAGTATGACGATACTGTAAACAAGCTTCGAATTGATAATTCTAAACAAATTGAATCTATCAAACAGGATAAAGACGCTATAATATTAGAAAAAGACAAGATAATACAGAATAAAGAATCGGAAATTTTACAACTCAAAAGTATAGTCGATGATATGAAACGTAGTCAATTAAACTGCATAAATAAAATGATGTTCGATAAACCAGATACTTCAGAAAGTTCTTCATCAAAAACTGAAGAGCTAGAAAGACGATTAAACAAAATGGAAAGAGCAAAATACAAAAACATTAAAAGTTTCGAATGTAAACTGGCGCAACTACAAAGACAAAAGCATTTAGCTGAATGCTCATTGCAATTACAACTCATGAAACAACGCACACAAGTCGTTGCCGAGGTAACAGATGAAAATCAATTAGAAATAACAGCAGCTTTAGGCAAATTAGAGGAAAGATATAAAGAAATTGTAGCTTCGGTACAAGCTACAGCAGTTCAAAGAAGAATGCAAGATCAGATAGCTTTAGACTCGTTAATTCAAGCAATTTGTGGCACTCACGATAAGAACATAAACTTACAAGGAGCTAGTCAATTGCAAAACAAAACTATGCGTAATTCAAACAAGAGTGGTAATCAAACTTGTGATATAGAATTATCACCGTTATTTCATGGCAATAAGGTCGGCAGTGTAGTTGCGGGCAAGCCCTTTGGCGATGACAGTATAGTGAACGAGTATTGTCTTGATAGCGAGAAACTTGGAGAACTATTTGAAAGGGTCCACATTCCTCAAAGGGACACTGGTGATACTTTAACAAAGAAGTAATAAACTATTAGCATGTCTCGATTCTGGAATAACATTGTAAAACAATACATAACATCGTGTAAGTGCTTGAGTACGGTAAACATAATAGAGTTATACAAACTAATTTAGCAAAGCAAATTTCTCCCTAAATTTACTGTTAACCAAATTATCAAAATGGATTTTTTTGAGTGTGTTAAATTTTGTATAGATAACGTGTAATGTTTATTATGTTAATAAATTAGTTTTTTGTGTTTTACTGCGTAAACATTGTAAATTTTACCTAACTTGCCATAAATAGTTTCCTAATTCAAACGGGCTTTATCTCGAAAAGCGTCGTACTTATCGGAAATTTGCATAATAATGCCATTAGTTCAACTAGTGGCGATCATCCCTGGTAATCTACACTAATATCTAGATTTGCATACCGTTCACAAATAAATATGGAGGTCGCTTCAGTGGTGCTTCTTATCAAGGACATTGTGATTACGAATATTCAAATTTCTAGATCCAACTTTGTTTTGCTACATGCAACCCGAAGGATTATATAAATGAGCGAATAGAAGCAAAGTTCAGGACTTTTTTTGTCTGTAAGTTTGTTTTTAAATATACATTTATTGAATTATTTGTTTTACTTTGTGAAGTAAAGTAAAACAAACTTTTTTACAGTGGCATGGTCATTGCCCTATATATATTTTTTCAGAACTGGGTCTCCATGTCTGCAACCCCGACATTTTAGCCCCATGAACCCTATAACGTATATAGAATCCGCCCACGGAAGATGCTACTGCATTGGACATAATTTAAAAACAACATTCTAATAATAATAGAATTTATGTTACACTTAATTTAAGAGAATAATAATAAATATTTATTTATTTAATTTTTCAAATGTAAACTGAACTTTATTGACTATAATGACTCCTTTTCCAGTCTTTGATTATTTAATTGTAATTAATTATTTGCATGCAATAAAAAACTATTTTTAATAATGCCAAAAAAGTATAACTTCTTACGCGCGTACATAAGTACACGCACCCTTTTTTTTTTGGTTTATGAATTAACTAGCAAATTATAAAAGTCTGCAACAATAAGGACTCGCTTATACGATGATACGCTAGTGAACTCTCAACATCCAGGTACACGGATAGTCCAGGGCCAGTTTCGCTTCGCTAAGAAATGCAACACCTTCTATGCGTTTCTTGTCCTGGAAAAATACAACTTCAAATACAACCTTTGCCTACATTTACCAAGTAGTAGAATAGTAACAAGTGTTTGTATGCTAAGGGCCAGTTTTTTGATCCGTAGTAAAAAATGGTTTTACCATTTGTTACATTAACTATAGTTAAATGAATAACCATTGGTAAAATCGTAAATGCGTTTTTCAATGCCTTTTTAACTATAGTTAAAGTTAACAATTTGTCAATTTGTTGCCAGTGCAATGAGCAATGACATCCCAAAAAATGTGGTTCTTTTTTGTGGGGATCATTTATTTTGTATGACAACACTAGACATATTGAGTGAATGAAATCCATTTTTGCCATCTTCATTCGTTATTTGCGCTTTGAAGAGTTTGAAGTGTCAAATTAATCTAAATAACACGATATAAATAAAGTTGTTTTTCTGTGATTTAATACGGTTTACACTTTTTACGATACTTAAATATATAAATAACGATGTCCGCAAACAGCCAACGGTCAAATAAGTAAGTTCAAACATATTTTCGTGTTATTTATTCCGGTTTATCTTGTGTTTCGTAATAGAAAGTAATACATTTATGTTTTGTTAAAGGGACCATACTGCTAACTTCGCCAAAAAGAAACTGCCAAACTGGTGATGCTTCTCAAGGATTACACAGTCGTAACCTGCAAACAACTGATCACTGCAGCAATCTACAAAAAGATGCAGCTTGGAAATCTCTGTGACGTTTTCAACTCAGATGGGTCTAGACACCGAAGTGTTAAATTTAATATACATTTAATGAAGGTGTAGGCACATTTTTATATTTATTCTTGTATAGCTGTGTCCTACAACAAAAGGAAAAAATCTTTTAACCCTTTGGAAACAAGGAAGCGGATTATGATCCACACGGATAAAAAAAATTGAGTTTAGAAACAAAGACAAATAAGAGAGGATGATTTGTTCAATTATGCTTAAGAAGAGCATCAAAAACATTTGCTGCACCAATGAGAGGCCCACCAAAAATTCATACTGCATAAAGAGGAGGTGCACCAAAAAGTGATGCAGCAGATGGAAGAAAGGCACAATAAATATATGTAGCAGCAAAAAGAGTTGCATCAAATTGAGGTGAAATGCAAGAAGAAACAATTAGAAAATATTTAATTGCTACTTTAGGGTTTCATGTAAATTTTGTAATGTTTTTTTTAATAAAAATGGTTTGTATTTAAGTTATAATTAAACAGTTTATTAATCAAGTCAAATGTTTTATTTATAAATTCTTGTAATAAAGTAGATAGATGCTAACTCACAAATGTAATAAAAGCCCTAAAGAATATCATAGGTCCCTAACTAATGTGTAGCTGTAGTTTTTAGTATAAGTACATACTTGTATGTACTTATAATAATTATAAGTTAATATTATTAGTAATATATAAATAATATTAACTCTAATTCATTATGTATTCTATTGCCTATAATATTAACTTATAATAATTATAAGTTAGTATTATAGGCAATAAAACACATAATGAATTAGTAATATACTTAATTATATACTGCTGCGGTTCTGTAGCTAGTAATGAAGCAAAATAGGTTTGTATGAGCTGCTGTCTATATATACTCTTGTTCTTGTATTTTATTTAATTATAATAATTATAAGTTAATATTATAGGCAATAAAACACATAATGAATTAGTAATATACTTAATTATATACTGCTGCGGTTCTGTAGTTAGTAATGAAGCAAAATAGGTTGGTATGAGCTGCTGTCTATATATACTCTTGTTCATTGGCAGTTTAAGATCATTCCCAATTTCAGTAACAATCCAGAGCACTGTTCCCTTCGATAGGGGGTAACAGTGACAAAAATCTACATCATCCCAGGTTTCTAATGGCGGATGACATTGCCTAAATATTTTTGGTCACTCATTAACACATTCTCATATAATATTATCGTCTTCTTCATCGTCTCATTAATTAAAGTATCTCAATATGTTTAAATTCATCATTAGATAGTAATAAACGTATTTATCATAGTTTGATTTCTGTGACAAACAGCTGTTAGTATATAAATTACCAGCGGCCATCTTTTTAACCCTCCGATACTGAGTAGTTAACTTTTTTGACTAATGGTTAGATATTTTACCATTGGATGCTCTTACCACGGATCAAAAAACGCATTTTGCTGATATTTAACTAATAGTAACGATTTTTTACCAATAGTTGAGTTAACTACGGATCAAAAAACCGGCCCTAAGTAGCGCTCCGTTGTATTATTCGTGTTTAGAACTAAACTATCTCCGTATATTGTTATATACAACGTATATATAAAATATAAGTTCACAAACTAAAAATTGAGTTTGAACTATACATATACAAAACTACCGATATGATTATGATCGGTGAAAAAAATATTAAACGCGACATCCTATATGCGATCTCATACAATCGCTTCCCCAGAATAAGTAAGGAGAACTTCAGATATTTTCAATGAGGATTTGTTCAGTTTTATATAAAAAAGTTAATTACCAATAAGGCACAGTGTTGGCCTAGTGGCTTCACCGTGCGACTCTCATCCCGTATATCCCAGGTCGTAGGTTCGAGCCCCGGCTGTACACCAATGGACTTTCTTTCTATGGGCGCATTTAACATTCGCTGAAAGGTGAAGGAAAACATCGTGAGGAAACCAGCTTGCCTTAGACCCAAAAAGTCGACGACGTGCGTCAGGCACAGAAGGCTGATCTCCTACTTGCCTATTAGATTACCAAATTATCATGAAACAGATACAGAAATCTAAGGCTGAGACCTAAAAAGGTTGTAGCGCCATTGATTTTTTTTTTACCAATTACCAAGCTGAGCAGTGTTCGTCTAGCGATCGTTAAACCTGACTGGAGATTTACAATAAACACTTGCTCATACGGTGAAGAAACATGACGTGACCGGCATGACTTAGACATAAAACCGATGTGTCGCAGAAGGCTGATCACCTACTTGTCTATAAAAAATAACCAGATGCCATCCGAGGAACTAACAGATCCTAAAGGAAAAGCTTTGGTAATATGATATGACTATTCATTAATTCGTCGTGATTAATTAAATTGTGTACATTACGCTTATCCAGAGAGTAAATTGTATTTTAATGACCCCTATCTAATATCCAAGACAACGGTAAACATAAATTATGTCTCGTTTCCCTTTCCCACTTAAAGATTAGTTAGGTATTAAAACTTGATAAATTATTTAATAAAAGTTCATGGGTTTTATAAAATTAGGTACCTAATCCCCATAGTTAAGCGAATAAATATCTTAATAAGTATTTTTAAATAGAAAATTACTAGTAATAACTAAAATTTGTAGTTGGTTGTGTCATATTTCATTATTTATTTGTAAGATTTTTGTTCACCGTAATTGTCATGTATTTAACAAAAGATGTAACTAAATAAGTGTATATATGTATGATACATTAAAAAACAAATAAAAGTAATACATGTATCCGAATGCCAATGCCCTTTTTTGACATACCTAAATAAATACAGCCTTTATTCCAGTACTACACTACACTAAACCCAAGTCATCATGTTTTACACTAGTACTCGACCTCCAACGGACGAAGGCCTCCGCCAAATTCTTCTACGTGTCTCTATTCCTCGCGACAATTTTCCAATTCTGCCCCGCTTTCCCTTTGATTTGATCTTCACAAGTTTCTGGTGGGCATCCTCTCATTTTTCCGAGTAAGGCTCTTCTTGACCCATCTGTCATCACAAATGCGAGCAATTTGACCGGCGCATTTCCACTTTAACTCTATTGTGTGTGTTACGACGCCTTTTATGTTTGTATGGCTTCTT